TCTTTTTAGAGGCAGATTTACTAATCTAATGAAGATGGGTGGAGCCCCCTAGATTATGACCCTATTGCACATCCTTCAAGACTGGACTTTCACCCCTGTGGTTCAATTGTCAGCTGAAACATAGACAGGCCTACTGTTGTTACGTGCTGTCGAGTTGGTTCTAACTCTCAGCGACCCTCTATAGGGTTTCCTAGGAGCAGCTGGTGAGTTTGAACTGCCAACCTTGTTGTTAGAACTGACCTTGCAGTCCGGTGCTGATCCTACAGTGCCACCCACACCAGGACTCCTGATAGATCTATAAGGGAAACACATTCTGAGGAGGTACAGTACCTGTTGCGGCACTGTAGGATCAGCACGGAACTGCGAACCATAAAGTTGATGGTTCAAACCCACCTTTGAAACCATAGGTTGCTATCAGTTGGAGATGACGCCACAGCACTTAACAACAACAATAACCACTCCTTAGAATAATTAGCCAGATGAGATCAACAAGATCAGCATTTGCCCAGGGTGGCACTGTAAGATAAGCACTGGATTTCCAAACTCAAAGTCAGCAGTTCAAACCCACCAGCCACTCTTTGGAAACCCTATAAAGGGTAGATATGAGTAGGAACCAACTCGACGGTACTTAACAACAACAAAGCTCAGAAGACTGAAAGAGATAGAAAAGAAAAACAAATGGAACCAGTAAATGCAGAGAGAAGTTAAAAGAGTGCTTTTACACTGTGAGAACTGTAATAAATGTCATGAAAAAAAGAAACAATTTGCTCTGTAAATTTTCACCCAAACCACAATAAAATGTTTAAGAGAAAGAAGGAAAAGGGAGAGACACATTAAGAAAAATTAAGGCTCAAAGGGGGAAATAAAGAGAGCCTTAAAAGATGGTTGTTGTTTTTAGGTGCCGTCGAGTTGGTTCCGACCCATAGTGACCCTATTATGTACAACAGAGTGAAGCATTGCCCAGTCCTGCACCACCCTGCTGTGCTTGAGTGCACTGCTGCTGCCATTGTGGCAGTCCATCTCGTTGGGGGTCTCCCTCTCTTTTACTGTCCCTCCACTTTGTCAAGCATGATGTCCTTCTCCAGCCACTGGTCCCTCCTGATAACATGGCCAAAGTATGAGAGACGAAGTCTGGTCATCTTGGCTTCTAAGGAGCATTCTGGCTTTACTTCTTCCAACACAGATTTGGTACTTTTAATATTCTTTTTTTGGTGTTTATTATTCATTGTCCAACTTTCAAAAGCATATGAGGCTATTGATTAGCATATAGGAATAAAAACAACAACAAAAAACTAACAATGGACAGATGTGACACAGGCATACTTGTAAAGATGCTGTTGTTACTAGGGGACAATAAGCCACTTCCGACTCATAGCAACAGTGTACATAACAGAACGAAGCACTCACTGCCTGGAGGATGCCTGCGTCATCCTCACAATTCTTGTTACATTTGAACTCATTGCTGTTGTCACTGTGTCAAGCCATTTCCTTTGGGATCTTCCTCTTTTTCACTGACCCTCCACTTTACTAAGTATAATATCCTTCTCCAGGGACGAGTCCCTCCTGACAAAATGTCCAAAATATGAGAGACGAAGTCTGACCATCCTGGCTTCCAAGGAGCATTCTAGCTGTACTTCTTACAATACAGATTTGCTTGTTCTTGTAGCAGTTCATGGTACTTTTAATTTTCTTCTCCAACACTATGATTCAAATGCATTGATGGTCTTCCTTATTCATTTTCCAACTTTCACATGCACATGAAGCAATTGAAAATACCATGGCTTGTGCCAGGTGCATCTTAGTCCTCAAACTGATAGCTTTTGCTCTTGAAGCCTTTAAAGAAGTCTCGTGCACATAGTTTACCTAATGCAGTATGTCGTTTGATTTCTTGACTGCTGTTTCCAAGTGTGTTGGTTGTGGATCCAAGCAAAATGAGGTATTTGACAAGTTCAATCTTTTCTCCATTTAGCATGATTTTATTTACTGGTTGTGAGGATTTTGTTTTCTTTACACTGAGGTGCAATCCATACTGAAGATGAGAATGATGTGAATTGTAAGATGAGCTTTTTAGCTGAGAGTGTGTTTGTTTATGTAATTATGAGAAAGGATATGTATATAAATATACCACCACGACCTCTGTCAGATTGTGGAGCTGTGGTGGCTTGTGTGTTGCTGTCATATTTCAAATACCAGGAGGGTCATCCATGGTGGGATTCCAACAGAGCTTCCAGACTAAGACAGACTAGAAAGAAAGAACTGGAGATTGACTTCTGAAAATTCACCAATGGAGACCTTTGGGATTATAACAGAACCTCATTTGACTCACTAGCTTTGGGTATATCATTGGAAGCCATCGACTGTTGTGTGAATTGGAGGGGCTAGCAAGGGCGAGGGAGCCCCTGGGTGAGGTGGGTTGGCACAGTGGCCACAGTGGTGGACTTGAACATGATGGGAACTGTGAGCATGATGCGTGGACCAGGCAGCGTTTTGTTTTGTTGTGTACGTGGTCACCATGAGTCCATTAGACGGCAGCTCGTGGACTCCTGGTGTGGCGCTGTGGGTTAATGGGCTGGTCTGCAGTTTTGTCATGCTGATAAAGTAATGGGTATTTCTAGATAGTTGTTGACAATAAGTGATACTATTATTTTCTAGGAGCTCTTGAAGTAATTGTAGTAAAGCCTAACCTGTCTCTATGGTTTTATTTCTGATTCTTTTCTATGGAAGTTATGTTCTTAGTGACAAGCTGTTGTTGTTGTTAAGTGCCATCAAGATGGCTCGACCCATAGCAACTCTATAGAGGGTTTCCGAGGAGCAGCTGTGGGTTTGAACTGTGGATCTTGTGGTTCACAGTCCAGTGCTAATCCTACAGCGCCACACCAAGAACCCTAGTGACAAGTGGATGGGCCTAATTCACCTGGCATGGAATTGTGTTTCTGACTCTTAGTAGCTGCTGAATCGCCGCAGATGAGTCATTTAACCTGTAATCCTCCATCTGTCATTTTAAAAACCGGGATTGCAATGCCTTAGCTTGTAAGGTTGTTCTTAGGATTCCAGGTAATGAAAAGTATCTGGCACGTTGTAATCTTGGGAATGGTTGTTGTGACCACTGTTTCTCTTTTCTACCTTGTTATGAACTGAATTGTGTCAAACCCCCCACCTCCCCACCCCAAAATATGTGTTGTAGCTCTAACCACCGGGATTCTAATCCCCTTGGGGAATGGATTTCTTTGTTATTGTAAGGAGATAGTGTTCAAGTGTTAGTGTAGGGTGTGTCTTAAATCAATCTTTTCTGAGATGGAAAAGAGATGAGAAGAGCAAATGAGGAGCACCGGAGGCTGAGGAAGATGAGCCCCACACCACAGAAAGATGAGCTAGACCTTCCCGCTCCCTCCCCCATTCCCAGCTAACACAGAGAGAAAGCCAGCCCTGAGAGCTAGCCCCCTGAATTTGGACTTCTAGCCTCCTGAACTGTGAGAACAGAAACACCTGTTAGTTAAAGCCCCTCACTGGGGTACTTCTGTTATAGCAGCTCCACGTAACTAGGAGACACACCTCTTTCTTTCGTTTTATTTTTTCTTCCTTTCTTTTTTCATTTCCCTTTCCCTCTAACTACACGTCAGGCTTGCCAATAGCATGGATGTTGTTGGCTGGACTATCTTGGTGTTATTAGGTCAAAAGTAACATTAGCAAAACACACTGAGTTAAAAAGGGTAAATCATTATGAGATTAAGAAGAAAAAGGAATGAAACTATGTAAGAAGGATAGAAGGCAAAATAAATCAAAAGCAATGTGTACATGGTAGATGGGAGGAGATTGCAGATCAGGATGAGGGATAAACTAAAGGCAAAACGCAGAGCTAGGCTGCCACTCGCACATGTTTGGAAGCGATAGAGATCCAATCTCCTTCCTTCCTTGGAAATCTGACACTTTCTAGACTTGCTCGTTTTAATGTGGTATGCTTGGCTTACAGAAAAGATACGATCCAGGGGGGGATTGTTAGAAAACAGGGCTTCTTTCATGTCGAATCATAGA